ACAACTACAACAAACAATATAAATGTTTGACCAAATATCTAGGCATGGTGGCCCAGCCAAGCTAACACATAAAATTAACTATCACAAGTCCACTCCTTGTCAACTAGATATTCATTTATGTCTTCCTAAACCATACTTATTTTTAAGTTTATTTATTTATTTTGAGGGGAGAGGCAGAGAGAGAGGGAGAGGGAGAATCCCAAGCAAGTTCCACTCTGTCAGCGCAGAGCCCAAAAAGGGGTTCGATCTCACAAACTGTGGATTATGACCTGAGTCAAGATCAAGAGCCAGATGCTTAGGGACACCCAGGTGACTCAGTAAGTTAAGTGTCCACATCAACTCAGGTCATGATCTTGCAGTCTATGAGTTTTAGCCCCGTGTCGGGTTTTCATCGGGCTCTGTGCTGACAGCTTGGAGCCTGGCGCCTGGGGCCTGCTTTGGATTCTCTCTCTCTCTCTCTCTGCCCCTCCCTGCTCATGCTCTGTCTCTCTTGCTCTCAAAAATAAATGAAACATAAAAAAATTTTTTTAAATAAAAGAGATGCTTAACCACCTGAGCTACCTAGGTGCCCCCATAATAAATTTCTACTGTATTGCTGACATAATCTTCCTTACCTCCACTGTGGAGTAGCAGATTTCCCCTTGGTAGTCAGGAACAATCAATCACCCCAGTAAGCACCATAACTCCTTCTTTGCCATTGATTCAGAGGTACGAGGAGCCCAAAGTGGAAAAGGCAGCTGTCTAAACTCCCAGTTCAATGGAATCATTATTGTACCTCAAAACCAGCAGGTTTTTGGGTCCCTCAGTAAATGGAGCTGAGTAGCATACGCAAATGAGGGATATGTTGTCTCCAAAATTCAAAAGGCCCACTGGGCATTGTACCTCTTTTTTGTTGTACCATGTGCAACATACTAGTTCAACCAGCATAATGTCATCAGTGTAACGAACCAGTGTGTTATCTTGTGGAAGGGAAAGGAGATCAAAACCCTGTGAACCTAAATTATGATATAGGGCTGGAGAGTTGATACCCCTAAAGTAGAAGAGTGATTGCTGCCTTCCCAGGTGAAAGCAAATTGCTCTAGGTGGTCTTTATTAACAAAGGTGGAAAAAAAGACGTTGCCAGATCAATAGCTGCCTACCAGGTACTAGGGGATGTGTTGATTTGCTCAAGCAATGAGACTATGGTGTAACAACTCCAGTTGAAGTCATTATCTGGTTGAGTTTATAGTAATCCACTGTCATTCTCCAAGATCCATTGGTCTTCTGCAAAGACCAAATGGGTGAGTTCAATGGAATGTGGGGAATCACCACCACTGCATCTTTCAAGTCCTTGATGGTGGCACTAATCTTTGCAACCCTTCCAGGAATGTGGTATTGTGTTTGGTTTATTATTTCCCTAGGTAGAAGCAGTTTTAGTGGTTTCCACTTGAGCTTTCCCACCATAATAGCCCTCACTCCACAGGCCAGAGAAGCTGTGTAGGTATTCTGACAGTTGCTGAGTATGTCTATTCCAATCATACATTCTAGTATTGGGGAATAACCACAAGGTAGATTTGGAGATCCACTGGGGCCACTGTGAGGCAGACCTGAGCTAAAATTTGATTTATCACCTGACCTCTATAAGCCCCTACTTTGATTGGTGGACCAAGGTGACATTTTGGGTGTGTCAGAATTAGGGTCAGGTCAGAGTCAGTGTCCAGCAATCCCCAAAAGGGATTTTTTTTAAAAAAAAATTATGATTCAGGGGTGCCTGGGTGGCTCAGTTGGTTGAATCCGACTTCCGCTCAGCTCATGATCTCACTGTTCATGAGTTTGAGTCCCTCATCTGGCTCACTGCTGTCAGCGCAGAACCTGCTTTGAATACTCTGTCCCCCCCCCCCCGCTCCAGTCCCCCCCATCTCTGTACCTCCCCACTCATATACTCTCTCAAAAATAAAATAAAAACACTCAGTTTTATGATTTACTGACCATTTCTTTTTATCCCAAAGCATAGTTACCCTGTTAAACATTCATAGGTCCCCTTGGGGAAGACTAAGAGAGAGATTAACAGTATAAACTTTTGGAAGTTTACTAGGGTCCTTCCTTAAGGGGACCTGGACTCCCCTTCTTTCAAGGGGCGCTGGGCCTGTAAACTTGATCAAGTCTGGAAATTGATTGAAGGGCTATGACTTTTTATGATTCAGGCTAGATTTTGGTTCACTTGAGCTAGAACTCTTATATGGATCAAGTGAGAATTTAGTAGGCTTCCCATATATTTTTCTGCTAGGAACACCATGATCAAACAGCCAGCATAACAGGTCTCCAGTCAGACAAATCTGATTGCTGTTTTGACTTTGCTGCCCACTATGGTAATTACACCCAGTTTGCCTTTGGTGATGGAATGCTGCCATTTGGACCCTGACAGTTCACCATCCAGTTATTCCCATTGCATTTAGGATTCCCAAGCTAGTAGCAACAGTTCCCCACAGTAGGTTCTGGCCTACAGAGAAATGTGATCACGGAGCTCTTCAAGGATGCTGAGGCTCCCCTCACAAATTTATTTCTCACTTTTGTGGTGAAAAGTGTCCACTGGAAACTTCCAAAGTGGGTGGGTAGGTCTTAAGTGACAAATGCACCCTAATTTTATGGAACTAGATAGCAGAGATGGTTGCACAACATTGTAAATATTTTCAGAACTACTGAATTGTGCACTTTAAAATGATGAATTAAAATGGTGAATTTTATGTTAGTGAATTTACCTCAAATTTAAAAAAATCTCAAAGACTACGTATAGAATATTTCCATGAATTGAGTAGAAAGTAAGATTAAATATCTTATTTTAAGTGAAACTACATTGGTTCCTAGTGATCACCACTTCATCTTCTAGAGATCAATGAACTTTCAAGTATGGGCCAGAGGCCCCTTTCATCTCGGCAGCGAAAAATGCAGATACCTTGAGTCAAAGTTAATGAATAACTCTGGGTGTGGTGCCCAGGAATTAGCTTTAATTATCTCCACAGTAATTACTGAATGCACACTAAAGTTCCAGAATCATGATTCTAGGTGCTCATAAGTCACCCATTAATAATTTTCTCTAAATTTTTGGTTGGGCCAAATGTTAATAGCACCTGTTTGTGGTTTCAAATAGTCACTTTTATCTGCCCTTTGAAAATCAGATGATTTACCCACCTCCTGTTTCCTCTTTTCCCCCCAACAAGTCCTCAAGTATTCCTGGTTCAGAATTTTCTCAAAGAAATTCAAAAACTAGAATGATAGAATTCAATAGTAATTGATGCAGTTCTCTGGTCATTTTTACTCTTATCTTGATCTACTTCTTTCCCTTAAGTATTTTCTTGCATGCTCTTTCTGATGCCCACTTTCCTTGACAGACAAAGCAGAAGAAATGAATGAATTAGTTGATAGGCAGACGTTCCCTGTATTACTTAGTGTTCCTGCTCCTATCTTATCCGTCTAGTGCCCTAAGGAGGGAGTTTGGCTGAGTACTTCAGCTTTTGTTTTTAAAGAAACACCTGAGTGTCGTCCCTTTCACTGTGGAGTTTTACTCGTATGTTTTAATGCAAGATATCTAGGCGATCTTTTGGGGATGCCTTCAGAGCCAACATAATAACTTTAGTATTGTTTATGTCTAGCCGGACCTCTCATTTTTGCAGTTTGGAGCACAAACTTGGCTTCCACTCTTTCCTAAACTCTCCAAATGGTTTATTTCACATTTTGAGTTCTTCAGCATGGTTTACTGTGCCCTACGATGCAGTAATGCCCTGTACCGTATGTCTTATGGCAGCACCCCTTAGCATCTACAATTCCCGGTTTCTTCTGAAACGGCATCGGCGCCCTTCGAATTTACAGTCGCCTTCTGCTGTTGGAAATTGTGACGACTTGCAGCCGGCAGGCTGGAGAATCCTCCCTAGGCTCAGGATCCTTGCCGGACGCGGTGGCGCGCGCCTGTAGTCCCAGCTACTCGGGAGGCTGAGGCAGGAGGATCGCTTGAGCCCAGGAGTTCTGGGCTGTAGTGCGCTATGCCGATCGGGTGCCCGCACTAAGTTCGGCATCAATATGGTGACCTCCCGGTAGCGGGGGACCACCAGGTTGCCTAAGGAGGGGTGAACCGGCCCAGGTCGGAAACGGAGCAGGTCAAAACTCCCGTGCTGATCAGTAGTGGGATCGCGCCTGTGAATAGCCACTGCACTCCAGCCTGGGCAACATAGCGAGACCCTGTCTCTTTTGCGTTCTTTCCTTGTATCTATCGTAACACAACGAGAAGTGGCATACTTGCATTCTTGCCCGGCAGTTTTCCTACTACCCCACGAGTCCCCCATGGTGGGGCAATCTTCTATTATTTTGTATCTCATTTCAAAACATTATGTAGCAAAACACCTGAATATTCAGGTTGCCAAGCGTTTACGGAGTTCCTATTGTATACCAGGTACTATGCTGAGGCAAGGGGATGCCAAGACCGAGGTTAGACGAGAATCCCACAAGACATCGCAAAACGCTCTTCAGAGAGCGTCCATCAAAATAGGAACTCTTTTTTGAACGTTTCTTCGCCTTTATTGTTGAGGGTAATTGTAGGTAATTGTAGGGTAGTTCGTTTCGTTATATTTCAAAATTCTACTCGTCCAGTTAACCGAATGGAAAGGGCTCATTGCTCTTGCACACCGAACCCTACCGCCCATTTGGGGGAAATCCTCCCAGTACTCTCATCATAAATTGTTATGACCAGCAGAGGTCGCTAGGGAGGTCAGCTTGAGTCCTGAAACACAAGAGGGAAAGGTGACCGGACTAGTCCGTCAGCTTTCCAGGAAGGAATGCAGTTTCAAGACACTAGTTCGGATCTATGTCTAATTGTTTTGGTATAACGAAAAGCTAGTTGACGGCGACTTGATATTCCAATTCTTCAGAAAAGCGACGCAAACACGTTCGCTTCAAGGAATATTGGGTCTTCTGCGCGGCCGTAGATTTCGGCCAAGTGCGCCTGCGCATAAGAGTAGCGGCGTTGAGTCAGGTAGTCAGTGGAGAAAACTGCGGTAGCGACCCTCGGACCTCGCCATGAAGACTCGCTTCAGCACCATTGACCTCCGCGCGGTACTCGCGGAGCTGAATGCCAGGTACTGAGCGATAGGTGACTAGGCTCTTGCGGGGAATGCAGAAGGCAGAGGCCGGTGCCCCGTGGTGGAAAAAAAGACCAGCCTGATGTTTCCACTTAATCCCCCAGTGCTCCTCTGCGGACCTGGCTAGGCCTGGGTGGGCGAGCGCGTGACATCTTTCCCGCGGCCCTCGGGATATCTGGGGACCCCAGCGGCCGCATGCCCCACACCCCGCACTCCCGGGCTGCTTGTCTCGCCGGATCTTGTGTCAGGCTTTGGCGGGGCCCTCGCCGAGCTCTCGCCTTGTTGGCCTGAGTTGCCCCGGTCTGGCAGCGAACGTTTATTAAGACAGGAGACACCAAGTAGACGCCGGGGTGCCCAGCAGTCTTTTGCCTCAGGGGTTTCCAGACCGGCGGCCTGGTTTCTTTGACACTCCTCCTCATTCCTAGGAGACGGAATATTGGCGTTTTAGCTGAAAGTAACATTCTGATCTGGTTTCTGTTATGCAGCTGTTTGAGTTTTGTCATTTTTTTTTTTTCCAGAGTTTTGTTACCTTTTTTTTCTTTTGTAATAAAGGGGGTTAGATGTTTCCTTAGAAATAATCGGGTCATTTCAAGGACGCAGGGCATTGCATGGTGTTCCTAGGACTGCTCTTTTTGTCTTAACTTTTGTTCTTAAGAAGTTACACTTCTTTTGGGCTCAATGCCTGGTGGCCTTCGCTCTGCTCCCTGGTTGACTCCATATCCTTTGAGTTGAAGATCCCCTCTTTGAAGGCCCTGCTTCCTCCTGCGGCTTTAATTTGAGTGAAGTTTTGTATTTCAAATGTTGTTACGTGTTTCCTTTCTCTTGCAGCTTACTAGGAATGAGAGTAAACAATGTTTATGATGTGGATAATAAGACCTATCTTATTCGTCTTCAAAAGTAAGAGCATTTTACAGGCTTGTTTGATCTTTGGTAATTAAATATGAGATTATTGATTTTTTTTTAACCTGCACTTTTAGTCTGTTTTATTGAGTTAGCGTTGACAAATGCCTTAAAGAAAAATTTAACTTTTTTCTTCCACAGACCAGATTTTAAAGCTACACTTTTACTTGAATCTGGCATACGAATTCACACAACAGAATTTGAGTGGCCTAAGAATATGATGCCATCTAGTTTTGCCATGAAGGTAAACTTTAAGTTATACTTGAAGCTAAATTTTAAGGCCCTGAGATTGGTCACTAACAATTTAAGTTTTAAAATGTTTGGTTTTCCTTCACTATTATGAATAAAATATAGATAAAATAGTTGATAGATACTGGGATGAATAAAGTAGACATTTATTGACTTCTCCCTGTTACACTTCACACCCCAGTATGCTCTAGATCTTTCAGTTCCCACAGTCATTATTCTAGTTTAAACTTGTGTAACGTTCCCATAAAGTCCTTTGAATTACAGTATACTTCTTGCTATCAAAACAGTTCTTTGTTAGACCAGAGTTAATTTTTCTAAAGCATCATTTTCATTAGTTTCTTACCTTTTATGATTCCCAAATTTCTGAATTCATATCCTATCTTCTAGTATTCTTGGTTTTCTGTGATATGCCCCCCCCTTAACCTTTTCCTAGTTTTCTGCAGCTCACTTTTGAGCTGCCAATCTGTATTTTATTGAAATACTCAATGACATTAGTATGTTACCAATCATATCTTTTTACTTTTCACTTCTCTCTTTGCTTTTGTCTTGTTTTGTTTTTTCTATTAAAACAGAGAGTCTGCATTTGTGGACGTTACCTGTCCGTTTATTGGCATAACAAAGATATTGAAAGTTTATGTGGTACAGAAGAAAGACATTAGAATCAAATATACCTAACTTTGAATTAATGATTTTGCCGCTAAATAATTTTATAACCCAGAAAAGTAACTTAACCTCTTGAAACTTAGTTTCTTTAAATGTAGAATGCGGATAATAACTCCCTCATGGGGTTATTGGTGAGGATTATTTGAAGTAACATGTAAAGCACCTAACACAATGCCTGACACATATTAGGGCTCCATATGTATTAATTTCCTTCTTCCTCTCCTCCTCACTTTCCTTCAGAAATTTATTTGTTTTGGCATTGTGTTATTTCATTAGAGGCTTTACAGAGAAGAATCTTATCCCCAGCAACTTAGAATCTGTTTTGGATTACAAGTTAGGTAAGTGTTTCCCAAATCACAAGGCCTGTCACAAAATTATCAAACTCTTAAAAAGTTTAATTTATAGTAACCCCAAATGGTTCTTTTGGGAATTGTCCATAATAATGGTGACACTTGGTATTTGTATAGCATTTTTCAAAATAAATTAATAACGTATATTTTGAGCTGTTTAATATGTCAGTGGATATGAAGAACGGTTATTTTAGCTTTACAGATGATAAGATACATGCTACTGGGATTGTGTAAAAATCCCCAAATCAGGCTATACCAATAGGAGGCCAAACACTCAAAAAAAAAAAAAAAAAAAAAAGTTAGAATTTTATGAGTTAGGTGTACATGTTAATCTAAATGTATATAGAGAGATACCCTCCAGTGGAGCAGACACAGTGTTAAGCACATGATAAATAATTTAAAATAAAGAGCTGCTACCTTTGTATAGCACAGTCATGCTCAGTTGTGGCAAATCACAGTGATTGTTCTTCATTCTCACATTTGGGGATGCCAGTGATAGCTTTGTGGCACTGTTGTTTTCACCAAGCTGCTAATAGGGAAATAAATAAAACAAACATTATGTATGTACTGTATGCCCATCTATACTCATGATAAGTAATCTTCCCTTTTCTCCATTCCATGGTGTGGATTTCTGTTCCTTTCAAGGATGCCTTTTATCTCCATTTTAACTTTGTTTTTCTTGAATAAAAATACTACTGGGGGCCTCTGGGAGGATTGTGATTTTCCCCTGGGAGTTTAAAAATAGCCCAAATGTAGGTCACTGTTTAAATCAAAACCATTATAGACCACTCTTAGAACTATTGAATATAGGAGGGAGAGATTGTTAGAAGTTTGAAAAGGATTATTATATCTGCCTGAATGTATAAGTACATAAAATGAGAATTTTCGTCAATTTGAACTATTAGGTCTGGAGAAGAAGTCTTCTTGGTTATGAAAGAGTTGGCATTGGTTCTAAAAATGATTGTATATATTTTTAAAGGTGAATTTATATTAGCTTCTCTGTAAAATTTATCTTGAATTTGAGTCTTGAAAGCATTCTTTCTTACTGGTCTTGAGTAAGCAACCTTCCAAATTAAAGAATTAGAAACAGTGGTAAGAATTTTTAGGCACTACAGAGTAGTCTTGTTTCTGGTTCATGTTATACTTAAATATTTGTACTAAAGGATGGTACATATAATCTAAAGCAATAGGTGTTGACCAAGTAATTTATATTTGGGTTTAAAACGTTAATTGTATTTTAATTGCTAATAAGAAAAGAACATCATGACTAGGGATAGGAAGAATGGGATTTGATAAGGAATAAGAGTTATTATATTTGGATTTGAGCTAAGTTGGTCAAAAGCTTTGGAGACAGTACCAGAAAGATTCTGTCTGGGCTATATTAATACATTTGTGGGAATAGAAGGTAATTGGATGTACGTTGAAGACTAACTTACAGAATACCAATAAGCTCATGGTTCAGAATTTGTATTTGAAATGGAAGTTTGGTGGAAACCACTAATTAATATTGAACACAAAGGAAATTTGGGATCCTTAAAAGATGAGACTGGAAAGAGGCCTTATGAAAAAAGGTTATGGCTTTGAGTGAGGTCATCAGGGTAAGAAAAAGAGATTTAGCAGTGATATAAACAACAGAGTACATTTCTCTATAGGGCAAAGTACAAAATACTGTTTCAGAGTTAGCAGTCAGAGTCCTGACAGACAGTGTTTTTCCTTTGATTATCACCTGCAGGCTTTTGTTTACTATTTTTTAAGTGTTATTCTTGATGGAAATGAAAAGAGGAAGCTTATTTACAAGCCAATACCAAATGGTTAGGAATTCACTTCTACTATACGAATGCCCTTTTCTTCTGTTTCCCACTAGTGCCGAAAACATTTGAAGAGTCGGCGATTAGTCAGTGCAAAACAACTTGGTGTGGATAGAATTGTAGATTTTCAATTTGGAAGTGATGAAGCTGCTTATCACTTAATCATTGAGCTCTATGATAGGGTAAGTTAAATTTGGGTGGTGAGATGAAGGATAATTCATTGTTGTATTGTTAATTATCTGTGTAATACTATTATACTGTAAAATATGGGCAGGGAACAGCAGCTGTAGCCCATCTGAAATTGATTTTTGTGTGTGGTCTCAGGTAGTGAGTGGTCAATTGAAATTTGTGTGATACCCTCTTTAAAAAATTTTTCTCAAAACTTTATTGTTTTCAAATGACTGTGGATTCACAGGAAGTTGCAGAGATAGAGATGTCCGTTTCCCTTAGTTGTTACCTTTTATGTTATTATAGTACAATATCAAAGTCAGGAAATTGATGCTGGTACAATGTATGCATCTAGTTCTGTTCATTTTACCACCTTTGTAGATTCATGTAATCACTACTGCAATCAAGATACAGAATTTTTCCATTACCACAGAGATCTTCCTGGTGATACCCCTTTATGGTCATACCCACCCACTCCTCTTCCTCCCACCATCCCTCCCTCCTGACAACTACCAATCTGTTCTGTCCCTATAATTTTGTCATTATAAATTGGGTCTTCAACAAAGAAGTCAGGTTCAGAACCTTGGTAGAAGGACATACCAGATACTCTTAAATGGGAGTTGGTAAACTACAGCCTGTGGCCCCTTTTTATAAAGCTTGTGAGCTTAAGAATGGTAATGTTTTAAAAAGGGCTCTTAAAAAACAAAAAAGAATATGCAACTGAGACCATATGTGGCCATATGTGAGTTGGTAAACTACAGCCTGTGGCCCCTTTTTATAAAGCTTGTGAGCTTAAGAATGGTAATGTTTTAAAAAGGGCTCTTAAAAAACAAAAAAGAATATGCAACTGAGACCATATGTGGCCACAAATGCTAAAATGTTTACTGTCTTGCCTTTTACAGAGTTTGCTTTGTAAAAAAGTTTGCTGGCCTCTGCTCTTATAGACTCATGTTGTATGAGCCAATAGTGTGTAGACAAATACCAAAATATATCAGAGGGCCAAGGTAGGATATATAAGACTCATTTTAATCTAGAAGCAAGTGCTTCCATGAAAATAGAGTGCTAACCTGTGTTCTAGGGTGATCAGAATAAATTACACAGGACTGAATAAACTGGAGACAATCTAATTGTGGTTAGTTATTTTCTAGAATATTTTTGGTGTTATGATGAGTATTTTATGGTGATGTATGATAGAGCCCTTTACCTTTCTCTTCATCCTTAGTAGTCTGTACTTCTGCAAATTGGAGTGATATATAATTCAATGGTGGTTTGCTCTCATTGATCCTTTAGAATTTAGGAACAAATGAGATTTTTTACTGAGATTTTTTTTTTTTTTTTTTTTTTTTTTTTTTTTTTTTTTTTTTTTACTGCTAATGGCAATGTGTATGTTTACATAGGTTCAATAAGAATTTGTAATTCTTTTTACCAAGATATAGTAAGGCAAATTGTGCAAACTAGGTCAAACTTAGGGTTTCATATTTGTGAATAAGTCTCACTTAACTAGGTATGACAAAGGTTATATTTTATATGTAGAAGCAGCGTCCACAAAACATCCTGAGAAACTGATCTTTTACCTATTCTGTGGCATATATGATCCTAGCCTATTGGTGGTAAAGAATTTGAATAGATTTGAATAACTGTAGATCTGAATAACTTTAAAGAGGAATTTACCTGAATTTATAGGTCTACCACTGACACAATCAGTAGTGATTTTTGTTTGGTTTCAAATACTAATTTTTAAGTCTCTGGGATAATAGAAAACTTTTGAAAATAAAATCCCAGATTTCTTATGAATTCTCCAGGCAGCAGTGATTATTATGGCTTTAGTCATTGCTTCATACCTTGTGACTGTAGATTTGCTGACTATATCTGAGGAGATAATATTTATGTTACTTAACATTTCTTGCTGGACCTATGTAAATCAGGCCAAGGTGCAATGAGAGTAGCTTGTGTTTATGTATATTTGTCATCAAAATAATTTTAGATGTTATGATGAGAAAGGACTGTAAAAAAGTATCTAAAATTTGAAAAGAGGCAAAAAGGACCAAACTGTCATTTAAGTATCCTGCTGGGTGTTGTCTAGTAGGCACTTATGGGGGTTAGTTTTTCCTCTAGAGTTGTGTATCTTGAATTTGCTATTTACTATTGATTAGGGTTTTTTGTTTTGTTTTGTTTTTTTACAGTTCTTTAAGTGTAGACTTTAACTTGTAGAAAACTGATAGCAATGCAAATGATTCTTGCCTGATAGCAATGAAAGTTATTTGATCCAGTAGAGATTCAAATTGTATCTGTCTAGAGAAAAGATATCCTCAGTGGTTACAGTCTTACTGCCTTGAATTGACAATCTTACACAATTATTCTCATTGTAAATAGTTCATTTATTTCATTTCTCTTACAACCAGTTTTACCATCTAGTGGTTTTATTATTCATTAGTTAAATAAATTTTGACAGTTACAATAAGTTTATTGTCTTCTGGCAACTGTTATTTCTACTGAAATCTGTTAGCTCCTTTGAAGGTAATCTGGCCTTTTTATCTGGATGCTTTAAATTTTTTTCTCTTTGTCTTTGGTTTTCAGTATTTTTGCTGTGCTGTGCCTAGTTGAGTTCTTATTTGTAATTATCTTTTGGGGGTTCATAGAGTTTCTAGAATCCGAGTTGATGTTTTTCATCAGTTTTGGGAAATTCAGCCCGATTTTCTTTGATCTGTCTTCCAATTCACTAATTTTATTGCTACCAGACAAGAATCACTTGGAATTGCTATTTTTATTGTCTGTTGTTTCTTTTGATTTTAATTACATTGTCTTGTCTCCTCACATGCCTGGTTATTTCATTTTGTGCCAGGAACTGAGTAGAAAAAACAGTAGTTGTAGTCTGAGATCCAGAATGACTTGTCTTTCTCTAGAGAAGATAATTGCTTTTGACAAGTGGCTAAGGGTACAGCTAATTCCAGATTACCTTACTCCAATCAAGAATTGAATTGATTAGAAGTTGGGCCTGGAAAATCTGGTATATTTCTGGTTCACACCTTGCCTTGAGAAGCAGCCTTTATGAGTCACTATTCAGAACTGGATTTCTCAGGATATCTGCCCCCACCACTGCCCCAGTCATCTTTCACTTGGGCTCTGAACTCCAGTTTTTATTCTCCTTAGTTGTTCCGTGAGTCTATCAAAATTTATGCTCAGCTTCTTAGCCTATCAGTTGTTTCTTAACTGTTAGACAAACGATCCTAGGGGAAAAGTAGCCCCCCATGTGTGACTCATCTTTCTGAGTTTTCTTCTAGGTTTTGGTCCTGTGAAGGTTTACTGTCTTGCTTGCATTTTTGATTTCTTAAAATACAAGCTTTGTGTATTTTGTCCAGTTTTTCTGTTTCTCAGTAGGACATTGGTTGGAATTATCTAGACTACCATTTAAATTAGATATGTTTATACAAGTAGTTCATGAATACATTCTCAGTATATAGAGAAGTACATAAAATTAAAATGGAAAGTCTTACCCTTCCTAGCCCAAACCATTTCCTCATTCCAAGGTAACCACTATTATGTATGGTGTCTTATTTATGATCTCCTTCCCCTCTTCCCACCACTGTCAAAACAAACAAACAAACAAAAAACCCAAACACCTTTTTTTTTTTTTCATCTGTGGGGGGAAAAAAATCTCTAGAATGTAACTGAAGGCATGCTTAGGTTTCGGTCAATATGCTTACATTCTAAATTTAAACTTATGTACCAGGCACGGACCTTTCCATTTTTTTTTTTTTTTCCTTTTTCAATTTAAACTTAGACCTTAACGATATGTAAAAATTCTTTGCATACAATGATTTTGTGTAATCTTTGCTATTATTAAAAAAAATCTAGGGGCACCTGGGTGGCTCAGTTGGTTAAGCATAGGACTCTTGGTTTCGGCTCACAGGTCATGATCTTACGGTTTCATGAGTTCACGCCCTGCGTCTGGCTCTGCACTGGCAGTGTGGAGGCTGCTTGGGATTCTCTCTCTCTCTCTCTCTCTCTCTCTGCGCCCCTCCCCTGCTCATGCTCCCTCCCTCTCTCAGAAGAAATAAACTTAAAAAAATTGTTTTTAATTAAAAAAAATCTAAACAACCTTTTCATTTTGTAATAATTTAGGATTTATAGAAAAGTTGTAAAGATAATATGAAAAGTTCTTGTATATCCTTCATTTTTCTTAACGTTAACCTCTTACATAATCACAGTACATGTGTTAAAACTAAGAAGTTAACACTGACACATTACTGTTAATTAAACTGCAGACTTTTTCTTAGATTTCACCAGTTTTTGTAGTACATACCCTTTTTGTGTTCTGGAATCCAATCCAGGATACCCCATTGCATTTAGGGCCTTTCTATTTTGAGGGGTTTGAGCTGTTAGTACGCATACTGCCTAGGTTTCAGAGGTCCAGTTATTGATGAGTTGGAAATACAGATTAAGGATTTTATACATGAAAGTATGTGCTTGGGAATTTTCAGCAGTTATTGTGATACTTAAGAGAGGTAGGTTGGTTGACTCTTACAGTAGATCTTGAAGATTGCTCTTCCCTCTCTTTATACCAGGGTTTGATCTCCTAGGCTTCATGTCTGGAATTTTGATGTATGGTTTATCTAGAGTTGATCAGACCTTGGTTAAAGAGGTGATTGCTGCTCAAATTCATTTAACAAAGTCAGTTTATTAATTTGCAATAAAATTCCAATAAGAAAGATGCTGGAGAAAGTAAGTTAAGGTCAGAAAGTAGTTTATTGAGTACATCAGAGTCAAGCACAGTATTTCCCAAAGTATGTTTCTTAGATACTACTTTCCCTAGATAATAGGTGTACCTAGAAAAATAGGTCCCATAGCCATTAAAATTTGAGGGCCTTTGAGAATAAAGGGGGAAAAAATTTTTTTTTAACTCTAGGACTTATCAGTGCCTTTAATGCAATAATGTGATGTGTATATCCCCTAGAGAAGGATATGTTACACAGAATTGCCAACTTTATTTGCTCAGAGTTCTTTTTTTATGGAGGTGGGGGGGAACCATCTTACAGAATAGTTTTGGGAAACCCTGGTTTAAGGCAAAAAACGCTTTCAGGAAAGTAACTGCCTTGCTGGAATCTGCCAGATATTCTTGATAACTGCACACTTTGATTCAACAAACATTTTTTGAGCACCTTCTCTGTGCCAGGCTCTATGGCTGGGTCTGTTTTGCAAGTCACGTTAAATTACATCTTCTTCAGTCAGACACTATGTGGACTTCTTTCCAAGCCCTCACCCAAACTTTGCTTTTTCAGTTAACTTTTTCTTTTCTGAGAGAGAGACTGCAAGTCAGGGAGAGGGATGGGATGGGGGAGGAGAGAGAGAGAGAGAGAGAGAAAGAGAGAATCCCAGGTAGGCTCCATGCTTAGCACAGAGTCCAAGGTGGAGCTCGAACTTGCAGACCAGTGAGATCATGACCTGAGCTGGAACCAAGAGTCAGACGCTTAACTGACTGAGTCACCCAGACACCCCTAATCTTAACTTTTTAATAGATACTTTCATTTTTCCATATATTTGCTTTCCACTTCCTAGGATACAGATTTTTTTCTGTGTCTTGCTATTTTTTACTTAAGATTATAAACATTTTCCTACTTTTTCAAAACAGTCTTCATAAGTTAACAGCTTTTAAATAGTTTGTTAGGTTGATTTATCATAATTCAGCAATTTCCTCAATTTTTACATTTAGGCTGTTTCCATTTTTTTCTATTGGAAATAAACTGCAGTGAATATCTTTAAGCATATAGCTTTTGGTTTTATGGAGTTCTTACATTAGGCTACATTACAAGTGTGGAACCACGTGGGTATAAAGTGTAACTATCTGTATTGATTTTGCCACATAACTATTGCTATCCAAAGACAAATTGCAGATGAAAGTGTAAATATCTCTTTATTTGGTTTCTGAAATATCTGTCTGTTCTGAATTGTTTTTAATAAGCCACGGTATTTGTAGACCTACCTCCTGCAAGGACAACAGTAAGTTTAGCTGGTGATCATCAAGGTGTTAACTGACTACAGGTTTCTCCTGCTCTCCGAAAGTAGAGCGTTCATATGGAAACTTTTGTAAGCTGAAATGGCATAAAGCAAAGAAGCAGTTGTCACCAATTTATATAGAAAAACTTTTGAACATCCCCAGAAAACACCTTCTCTTAGGCTTTTCTGATACTTTAAGGACATATCTTACTAATAGATGCACAAAATAAGTAGAGGTAAAGCACAGATGCTCACAGTTCAAACCTATGATGGCTTGATGCTGAAATGCTGAGTTAAGTTCCCAGGGAATGGGGTTTGACTCACTGCTTGAGTTGCCTGCTGACTCTATAACAGGTCACTGCCAAACAAACTAAGTGCTTTTTTTGTTTTTTGCCTTATTTTCATAAAAGTGAAAATTAATTTCAGATTTCTTTCGGTCAGTGAAGACCGGTATTAATGTAGGTCTTTTGTAAAAGCAAGGCGGTGTAAAGCAAAGTTGTGAAAAGTAGGTGATAACTGTTGTACTTCCATTAGTGACTTCAGTAGAATGATCAGTGAGTTTAAAGTTGCTTTATATTCCTTCATTATGTTTCAAACTTGGGGTCCTTTATTTGTTTATCTTATTTCAGTCTATGGTGGACAAGTGCAAGGAGCACTGTTTAGATGTGACTCAAGTGCTTTTTGTTTGTAACTTCATTGTAGCTTTGATTCAGGTTTTTAAGAGACCCCATTTTCTTTCTCACTTTTTAAGAAGTTTCAAGAATGATTGGGAAAAGCAATAAATTATATTTTATTTTATTACAGGGAAACATTGTTCTTACAGATTATGAGTACCTAATTTTGAATATACTAAGATTTCGAACTGATGAGTCAGATGATGTTAAATTTGCTGTTCGTGAACGCTACCCAGTTGATCATGCTAGAGCTGCTGAACCTTTGCTTACTTTGGAAAGGTAACATGTTTTGTTTCTAAACTCATTTCATGTTGTATTAAAAGGTAAAATAGATCATATGTCAGAATATTAAAGAACTGTCACAAAATATTTTGTTCATTTGCATAAAATAACTAAATTTGGACTGCTTGAACTATTTAAATGTGCATGTAAGCAATTAAACCTCATTTGCAAGTAGCAGCTGTGTGTCTTTTTAATCTAAGTCTGGTGTTACTTCAGGTGTTGATGATTTCTTGGTAAAGTGAGGGAACTTACTAGCTATTCTGTGGGAAGACAGATGGCTATCTTGCACAGAGTACAAATGGAAATGGTTTAGCTAAGAAAAAGGGAGTACCGTAGGATAAGGTGCTGATTTTAGGTACTCTTCTGGCTGGAAGGTTTCGCTAATAGCTGTAGCAGAGGTTCTCAAAGTTTAGCATGCGTCACATTCACCTGGAGGGCTTGATAAAACATATCCTGCCCCTGCTTCCAGTTTCTGATTCAGTGGGTCTGGTGTAGAGCCCAGGAATTTTCAGTTCTTACAAGTTCTCAGGTGATGTTTGTGCTGCTGATCTAGGGATCAGAGTGGCCAAACAGTATCCTTAAGAGCTCTTACTAAATGCATAATTAGGTAAAGCCATTCCAGGTATTAAGATCTATCACCAAGCTCTACAAACATTTACCTGTTATATAGGAACATCTCTTTCTTAACACATATGGGCACATTTTCAATAAACAATATGACTAAGTTGAAAAGTATTGATTTTTCTTAGAAGACTTGGTTTCAGGTCCTACTCTGCTGCTCAGGAACCTACTACCCTTGGGTAAATTACTTTTATGACCCATTTTCTTACCTACAAAGTGAACTAATTCTTCTTGTATGTTAGAGTATTGTGATGATTAGGCAATTTGATGGAAATGAAAGTATTGTAAATATGAATATTGCTGTAAGTTTTATTAAATAAAAGATAATGAGAGGCGTGTCAATTTTGTTTTCACAGACTGACTGAAATAATAGCCAGTGCACCTAAAGGTGAACTACTGAAGAGAGTTCTTAATCCATTACTTCGTGAGTAAGCCTAAATAGAGCAATGAAATGTTTGCAAGAAAATGTACTTTTCAGGAATATATTTAAATCTTTTATAACTCGAGAGTATTACAACAACTTGATAATGTAGAAGGGAACTTAAAATTATCTTTTGAATAAATAAGAATTTATTTTTAAGGAAAGAGGAATTTGTTATACCACATGAAGTTTGACCTTTATGTGTTAGCTTTTATTTAAAAGCAATACAGCTAAATAAACTGATAGTATGTTATCTAGCATTTTAGTGCTAGTGTACTATTCTGAGAAATTGTGTTTTTTTTCTTTTCATTGTGAATCTTTGATTTAATAATCACTTGAGTTTTTGTTTTTGTTTTTGTTTTTAATTGGTGTGTCTCAGGGTACCCCAGAATCTGTCAGGTACTTTCAATCAGGATAAAGATAATCCAATAAACTTATACTTGAAAAATCATTACTCATCCCTATACTGATGAGTCTGGAGAGGACTTGGGCAGGCAGGTATCCTCAGTTACTGGGCATTAGGGAGTCACTTGTCCTCTCTTCTGAAATTAGAATGCATTAATAAGTTACCTTTACAGCTTTCCAACTGTTAGTATAGCATACATAAAATTGTTAAGTTTGGATTTTTAAAATTAATTTATTAATATGGGGTATTGTATTAACCAGTTTTTGGATACTAAAGCAGTCTTTCATTCCTGATTTGAAATCCTTTATATGTGGCTCAATTCCATTAAATTCTTATAAAATTTATGCACTGACTTCTGCAGTTGTAGTCTCAAATTTTTGTAAGTACTTGAATTATCATTTCTAATTACATTTCAAAATAAGTAAAGTAAAAAAAATCATAAAAAGCAAAATAAGTAAATTGTTATTTTCATTGACTTCTGAGTAGATATTTATATTGGGATGTAAATTTCATATTATATTTTGAATATTATATAGGGGAATACTAAAAATAATATCTTCTGCTTTTATAGCCTATGGACCAGCTCTCATTGAACACTGTCTTATAGAAAATGGATTCTCTGGCAATGTCAAAGTGGATGAAAAATTTGAAAGTAAAGGTATGCCTGCATGCTACAATTTTTGCCCATTTTCATGTATTTCCTTTTTAAAAAACTATGAAAATTCTTTCTGGGAAAGTAATAAAAGCGAGCAGGTAGTAAATCTGTAAAAACTATAAAATATTTGATCTATTAACTTTTTTTATGTTTGTTTGTTTGTTTGTTTGTTTATTTTGAGAGAGAAATAATGCGAGCAGGGGAGGGGCAGAGAGGGACATGGGGCTTGATCCATGAACTGTGAGATCATGACTTGAGTCAGACGCTTAACCAACTGAGCCACCCAGGCGCCCCAGGTCTATGAATGTTCTATCCATATGGTATTTCTGGCTTCCTGCTCTAATGTGGCACTTTATCCCTGGTAACTCACAGTTCAGTCTCTTGACCTACCTTAGTACTTTTCAACTTTACAATATTCTCCTTCCCTGAATAATTGAAGTGGTTACCATACTTGAGGTAGGATCTGGTATAACACTTGATGTACTTGAGTTATTCACCTTCTGACTAGGAAGTTGGAGTGCTTTTAGTAATAGCTTTATTCATGCATTTTAATTCTATAAGAACTGTAGTGTGTCTATGTGATGAATTAGGCTTTTGTAACTACTTAAGGGAATCTAACTAAATTGCCAGATTAGGACAGTAAAAAATTAGAGGAAATATAAGGGAAAAGGAAGACTTGGCTTTTGACAAATTTATTTGCAGATTCTCATGTAAAATTACAAAAATATATTCTTCGTGTTTATATTTTGGGATTATATATCAGTTAAGATTTGGGGATATTAATTTTTATGCTGTAAATGTTTTTATGTTTAAAAATACAAATTAATGTTTTAGTGAGTGATTTTGTGTTTGACATACTAATTCAGTGCAATCCTGATCAAAATGCCAACAGGTGGTATTGTTTTTGCAATTGCAGTGTTCTGGTTTTTTAAATAAATACTGTGGAATAAAAGCATGTGAAAATGTTCAGGAAAACTCTGGAAAATAATAGTAGTGATGGAGAATAACCCTTTTACAGATAAAGGTATATTAAGAACCTAATAGTTTTTGAAAAAGTACAAAATGAAAAATTCAGAAACAGGCCCACGTATATATGGGAATTTAGTATATAAACAAAGTATCTTTAACATCATGAAGGTAAAGATGGATTCAGTAAAAAACTATTGGGATCACAACCTGGCCAAAACATATTCTTATTTACATATACTGATTATAAACACGAAGTAACTATATTTAATTTTCTTGAACACTTTTATTATTTCCTAAGCACTTTTCTGTTTTCAGTATGGTTTTGTAATAGTTAATTGACACTTGATTGGCATTCCTTTTTTCCATTTTGTTCTGTTAGACCTTGAAAAAGTACTTGTTTGTCTGCAGAAAGCAGAAGACTATATGAAAACAACATCCAACTTCAGTGGAAAGGTAGTACTACATATTATTATTGTATATTGTACTATTGTATATTGTGGTTTTATTTCCTTAGATTTTCAGAATTCACAGTTAATTAGGTATCACTACATGTAAGCTTTTTGTTAATTTGGAAATTCAACATCTGTAATATGCTTATTCTAGGGTTTTTTGGTTTTTTTTTTTCTAATTGCTGTTGGGTTATAATTTTTCTTTTCCTTTTTTTTTTTTTTAATTTATTTTGAGAGAGGGAGAGAATGCACATGCAAGAGCATGCAAACAAGGGGAGGGTCAGAGAGAGAGAGAGAGGAGGAAAGAGAATCCCAAGCAGACTTCTGCCCTGTCAGCACAGAGCCTGACATGGGGCTTGATCTCATGAACCCTGAGGTCATGACCTGAGCTGAAATCAAGAGTGACATGCTTAGCTGACTGAGCCTCCCAGGCGCCCTTCTTCTCTTCTTTTTATAGAAAGTACTAGGTCAGGTCACAATTGGCATACCAGGAAAGTTGAGGAATTTGAAAATAATTCCTCTTAGGTTGATTTTATTTAGAGAAATACTTTTTAATTGCTAGCACTTAATTAAAAAATTAGCAATTTACATCACTCTAATAGGTAAACATCCTCTGAATCATCTCATATCTTGTTTTTGTTCCCTATTCAAAGTATAACTTTATACTAGAAGTTCAGAGGAAGTTCTGATTAATTCCAGCTAAATTCAGTGCAGATACACCTGCCCAGTTTTTAAAATGAATTAAAATTTCTTACCAACAAAGTAAACCTAAGACTTTTTCTCCTGAAAGTAAAGTGCTATTGACTTTTTAAAGTTGCAGAATATCTAAAATTAGGAAGAAAAAAGCAAAATGTACACGGATAATCCCATCATTTTATCAAATCACTAGTTTTAATTTTCTTTATTCCTTATTTTTCTTGTCCATATGAAAAAAAGTATTATTTAATAATACTTATTGAGCCTAGAAACATCATTTTGAGAATTGATACAATCAATAGACAAATGCAGCAGATTATTTAAAACTAGAATAATTTTGTAAGTTTAATAAAATCGGGATCAGTCATGGAAGATACATCTAACTATGAAGAGAAATGAATTTTAATATTGGATTTTTGTAGGGGTACATCATTCAGAAAAGAGAAATAAAACCAAGCTTGGAAGTAGATAAACCAACTGAAGACATACTCACGTAAGCATATAGGCATGAGTCAGTTTACTTTGGATATTTATTAATGTTCTTGAATGATATAATAAATATGTTTTGCAGGTATGAGGAATTTCATCCTTTCTTGTTTTCTCAACATTCACAATGTCCATATATAGAATTTGAATCATTTGACAAGGTGGGTTCTCCAATTCTGTTTTTTTGACCAGTTAGTATGATATGAGTTATTAAATTAATACCAACTTGATTTGATTGATAAATTAAAAATATTTTTGGTTTACAATCACTGTATCTGAGCATTAAAGATCATTGCAGTCACAAATAAAAACTGTTGGAAATTTTTATTGTCACTTTATTTCAAGATGAAGGACCAAAGGTTTGAACTTAATTTGATTTTTGGCCCTTTGAACTATATAATACATTTCCTGGGAATCTGTTCAAGTTCTTTGGGTAGTGTTATGAAACAAAATGGACTCTAAAATTCTGTGTATCTAAGTTGAAGTAGAAACCCTGTTTTTTGTTTTTTTTAACCAGTTACTGTCTTTTTCTGTTTTTTAAATAAGGCCGTGGATGAATTTTATTCCAAGATAGAAGGTCAGAAAATAGACTTAAAAGCTTTACAACAGGTATGGTATTGTTAAAAACATTAAACTAACTAGGCTTGGTGTGATTTGCTGTGTAGACGATGCTTTCATATAGGAATTGGTGACGTTTCAGCGGTAGTATGGGAATGCCCTGATCCCTTGGCTCACTGATAATGGTCCAGGGGAGATCTCATTGTTGAAAAGCATTCCCTCGTTTGTTCCATCTGTACGTAAGATATTCTCTAAAATGGAAAATACAATGGGAAGGTGAGTCCTGTTATTTATTCCCTAGTATAATATGGGTTATTACAGCAACCCAAAGCTTTTCAACCTTTGCTGTTAAGGGAACATTGTTCCAAGGAGATTTTTAAGTAGGCCAAAAGAAAGGGAAACGTTCTTTCTATACAAATAAGTGTATTTTTCATTAAACTGGGTTTTATTCTAAGTGGGCTTTCAAACTTCACAGGAAGTTTTAATATGCTCTGTTTCTCGGTACATTTGACCATGATTTTGGAGCATTGCCACAGAGTTGTTTTAGAAATTAGCCACAGTCACTCTTGATTTGAAGAGGATTTAATTTTTCAAAAATATTAATAAATTCTTGAAGTACGTGTGCAAAAGTTTGGAATTATATGAATCTCTGTGCCCTCCCCTCTGTTTAAAAAATTAACAGCACAATTTCAAAGCTGGTGGATTGAGTGAATTAAATAGTGTGCCTGCCACACGGTGGCAGCACTTTAGCTAGTAAACATATTTAGCAGTAACATTGGATTGCATGTTTTTATGTGCATCAGAATATTCATGAATTATTTTAGTAATCACTGTGTGTTCTTTTAATAGTCACCATTCTTATGATTCAAATCTTTTAAATACTACATCCCATGATTCAAACCTTCATTAACTGATGATTCTGTTACTAGTGTTAGAAAATTTGCCTCAAATCAATAACCTTGAAATGCAAATGATAAATGCTAAAATGCTATATAGAAGGTAAATTGACTACTGTGAGACTTTGTGGCATTAATTTAAGAAAAAGAGTATTCTCTAGAAATAATACTGAGAAAATTAAAAGCAGCAATAACTTAAAAAGAAGCTCTTTTGGTAATTTGTGTTCTTTAAGAATGCATTTCCCTAAAACTTTACAGTTATGTGATAAAAAGAAAATGTCTTGTAGTCAGAATACACTCCTATATAGGGAATGGGAAGTAGGTAGTGGGGAGAGGTAATTTGGGAGCTTGAAACACTTTGGGGTAGGGTAGACCTGGGTGTTGGACTGCAGGAACGTCAGACAGCATTGTGGGGTTGAAGTGGAGGAGGGAGAGTTTCAGGATGTCAGAGAGGAAAGGTGCAGAAGGCAGAAGAAAACTAATTTTTAAAAAATATGTTTTGCCCACAAAAGGAAAAACAAGCATTGAAGAAATTAGATAACGTCCGGAAGGATCATGAAAACAGATTAGAAGCTCTTCAACAGGCTCAGGTATTCTGTTTAGCTTTTTCCCAGATTTCAAAAATGGTAACTTTAAATAAAACATTGTATGTTAACTAAGTGGAATTAAAATAAAAACTAAAAACATAACTTTAACATGGTATTACAGTAACTGTTTTTGTTTCTTAAGGAAATAGACAAACTTAAAGGAGAGCTCATAGAAATGAACCTACAGATAGTTGACAGAGCTATTCAGGTTGTTCGAAGTGCTTTAGCCAACCAGATAGATTGGACAGAAATTGGGTTAATTGTGAAAGAAGCCCAAGCTCAAGGAGACCCTGTTGCAAGTGCAATTAAAGAATTAAAACTACAAACAAACCATGTTACAATGCTACTAAGGTGAGTTTGATTCTTAGTTAAGCAGTTAATGCTTGTTTTTATTTTGCTGTTTAATTGTTCACTGTATTCATTTAAAATTTTTTCTCTTGTATTTGGAAGTTTATCCTTGAAGATACAGAAAAAACATTATTTACATTAAAATAATGCAACTATTTAAATACTGCAAATAACTTTATAATTTCATTGAGGAAAAAAATTGAAAATAAAAAAGTGATGTCATTGACATTAGTGAAATACTATTGAATATTTTTAATAGAAATCCATACTTGTTATCAGAGGAGGAAGATGACGATGTTGATGCTGACATCACTGTTGAAAAAAATGAAACCGAAGCACCAAAAGGAAAAAAGAAAAAGCAAAAGAATAAACAGCTGCAGAAGCCTCAAAAAAATAGGCCATTACTTGTTGATGTTGATCTCAGCTTGTCAGCATATGCCAATGCCAAAAAGTAAGTGTTAAGTATGAATTGTAAGTAAAATATCTGCAATAAATCAGGATAATAAGGATAATATATGTATATATATTACATATGTATGTGCTTTGGGGTGAAAACACTTTTTAACATCTTACTTTGTGCATTATACAACTTTGTTTTCAAAACATACAAAACAAAGTTGCATAATGCACAAAATTTGTTCCATATGATTTGAATGTGTAAAATTAGAAGTAACATAAATAGAAAGCTAAAGAATAGCTTAATTTTACTTAAAATTTTAATAGCTTAATTTTACTTAAAATTAAGAGAAATGCATTTTTCTAGATACTATGATCACAAGAGGTATGCTGCTAAGAAAACACAAAAGACCGTTGAAGCTGCTGAGAAGGTACTTACTATTTCTTAGAGTGAATGTGAATTGTTTTTTCTCTGCTTTAAATGAGTGGCTTTAATTATTTCGTTTAAATGAGGTTTTCTAATTCAGAAATAACTTTCAAACTTAATTTTGCTGTAATTATATGTATTTCCAGTGTTTATTTTCTTCCCCAAACCTGCTCCTTCCCCAGTCTTCCCCATGCTATAAATAGCACCTTCCTTTTTCCCTTTGCTTGAGTTAAAAGTATTGGAGTCATCCTAGGCTTTTCTCTCATAAATTATATCCAGTCCATCAGCAAATCCTTGTAGGTCTTTTGTAGAGTATAACCAGAATCTGACCACTTCTCAATAATCCCGGCCCCCATCATTTCTGTTCACATAGACTGTAACAGTAGCCTCTTCTTGGGTCTCTGCCTTCTACCCTTCCCCCCCTACAGTCTGTTCTTCAAACAGTAGCCATAGTGATCCTTTTAAATAAAAAATGAAGTTATTTCTCTTTGTTCAAAATCCATTTGCTTCCCATCTTATCAAGACACATCAAAGCCCTTCTCCTGCCCTGTAAGGTCCTACCTGATCCACTCCCCTCCAATTTAATCACCTGCATTCCTCTTGCTACGCTCTTTTCAGCGACACTGGGATCTTAGGTGTTCCTGTAACAGTGATGCATGCTGCCTTCTCGGGGCATTTGTGTTTGTTGCTCTTTCTACAGAGAATGTTTTTCCCTTAAAGTTTCCATGGTTTGATCCTTCCATTCATTGGCATGTCTACTAAAATGAGACTTTATCAGAGAGGCCTTTCTTTAAAAAAATTTTTTTTTGATGTTTAAAAAAATTTTTTTTAATGTTTATTTATTTTTGAGAGAGAGAGAGAGAGAGAGCGAGCTTGAGTGGGAGAGGGGCAGAGGGAGAGGGAGACACAGAATCTAAAGCAGGCTCCAGGCTCTGAGCTATCAGCACAGAGCCTGATGCAGGCTCGAATGCACAAATGGTGAGAGCATGACCTGAGCTGAAGTCAGACACTTAACCGACTGAGCCACCCAGGTGCCCCTTTTTTTGATGTTATTATTTATTTTTGAGACAGAGAAAGTACGAGCTGGGGAGGGGCAGAGAGAGTAGGAGACAGGAACCAAAGCCGGTTCAGAGCTGATAGCAGAGAGCCCAATGTGGGGCTTGGACTCACGAGCCGCAGGATCGTGACTTGCGCCAAAGTCAGACACTTAGCCAACTGAGCCACCCAGATGCCCCAGACAGGCCTTTTTGACCATATTTACTAAAAGTAGTACTACTTAGTAAGCTTAGTTGGTTAAGGGGCCAACTCTTGATTCCACTTAGGTCATGATTTCATGGTTCATGAGTTTGAGCCCTGCATCAGGCTCTGCACTGGCAGCATGGAACCTGCTTGGGATTCTCTCTCTCCCTCTCTCTGCCCCTCCCCTGCTGGTATCCTCTCTCTCTCTCTCTCTCTCTCTCTCTCTCTCTCTCAAATAAACATTAAAAAAGAATAGTAGTACCCTCAACCACTCCCTCTTATTCTGCTTTATTTTTCTTCTTAAAAAACACCCCTCCCAACATATGTTGATCTGTCTTTCCTCTAGAATGTAGATTGTATGAAAGTAAGATCTTTGTTTTGTTCATTGCTTTGTCCCAGCCCCTAGAATATTACCTTGAACATAGTAACATTAATATCTGTTAAATGAGGGGTGCCTGAGAGTCTCAGTTGATTAATCATCCGACTTTGGTCCAACTTCGTGTCAGTTCATGATCTCATAGTTGGTGAGTTTGAGCCTGGCATGGGGCTCTCTGCTGTCAGCACAGAGCCTGCTTTAGATCCTCTGTCCACCACCACCTCCCCCCCCAACCCCTCCTTCACTTGCTCACGCACGCTCTCTCTCAAAAATAAATAAACATTAAAAATATATGTATCTGTTAAATGAGTAGCCCTCATGACTTGTCTTCTATCTCTCTCTCCAACCTCATTTCTTGACATTTTACTGTGTAATCACTACTTTCTTGGTGAAGTTGGCCTTTTCTTTTTGCTTATAGTGCTCTTCCTATTCTTTGCCCTGATAATTCCATTTACCCTTCCGACTTCAGCCTAAATGCCATTTCCTTAGAAATACCTTCTTTGACCATAAGCATTTATAAGTTAGGTTCTCTTGTTATATTCTCATAGCATCCTTAGAAGCACTTAACATGTTTATTTGAATGATTATGTGTTTGATATTCATGTCTTCTCCTCGACCCTCTAGTAGGGTGAGAGTGAGAACTTCCTCTTATTCACTATTATGTCCCAGCATCTAGCCCAGAATCTATCGTATGATAGATACTCAGTATCTGTTAACAAATGAAACTTTTTAAAATTTGTAGGTCTTGAGCAAATATTTGTATACGTTAACCTTTGACTTAAATTATTTTAATATTTAAGGCACAAATCTTTATTTTGTGTGTATATGGTGTATGTATGTAAATAGTTGCCATTTTGTGACGCTTAAAAATAATTTCTTGTCTTATTTACTTAGTGTTATTTAAATACATTGTCAACAAATTATTTAAAAACTTTTTTCTTATAAATAGGCATTTAAATCAGCAGAAAAAAAAACAAAGCAAACGTTAAAAGAAGTCCAAACAGTTACCTCTATTCAGAAAGCAAGAAAAGTATACTGGTGAGTGTTCTACCTTTTAAAAATATAGTTTTTTTGTTTTTTAATTAAAATTATACATGTACATTGTTTAGAAAAATCAAACAGTTCTACAAAGCTTGTTGCAAAAACCAGTAGACTTGCAGTATTTTACCCCTAGTCCTGTTGCCTCTTCTCTTAAGGAAACTATTTTTAGCTCTTTTAGCTAATTGTTTTGGTATTTACCTCCTTTCCTCTTAGTAATGTGCTTATATTGCTGCTTCTTGGTATTTCTGTTTTATACTCTGTCAATGACTTCCCACTATGGAAGATGAAGATTTTATTCTTTCCATTTGGTGCTCCATTACACAGATATACACCAGCCAGCCTCCCAGTAAAGGGACATAATTTTGTCAAGGTAGATATCCAGCATTAATATACAGTAATATTTTATTGTAGTCACAGCTGAGTCATAAAACACTGTTTCTTTTCCTTCCCTGCTCAGCTTTTTGTCTTCGTGAAGGTGGTAATTGTCTTGTTTCATTTACCTTCCTCTTCCAGGTGTGTTCAGACACATTGGAATTCTATCCGTATCTTGCAGAAGTCTCTCCTGAGATTTTGACCTACTTTGTTCTAAATTGGTTACCCTAAAGATCTTAAGATTTCATTTTATTTTATTCTGGAAGTTCTCTTTACCTTTCTCTGTGTTGGATTCTCTGTCCTGAATCTCCTACTTCTTTTCTTAGTTGATGGAATGTGTACTCTAGAAGCTACATAAGAAGGCGTGTATAGGATGTAAAGCTTTTGAAGTTTTTGATATGTAAAAAAAAATTGTTTTATTTAATTGTGCGGCTGATAGAATTCTGATTTGAAAGGTTTAAAGTCATTGTTCATTGCATTAGCTTTCAAATTTGATCTTCAGAAGTCTGATGTCATTTTGATAGTTTATATTTTATTGAAAATTTGTTTTTGCCTTTCTGTAAACTTGTAGATCTTAATTTTTTTCCTCTCAGTTTTCCAAATTTTCACAATGATGTAGGTTGGCGAGGATGTTTTAATCTATTAGGCTGAATACTCTGAGTCTCTTAATTTGGAATTTTTCAGTTCTGATAAATTTTCTTGAAATATTTCTTACGGATTTTTTTTTTTGGTTTGTTTTCTTCTGGAAGTCTTATTTATTAAATATGGAACTCCTTGGGGGCGCCTGGGTGGCTCAGTCGAATTAAGCATCCAAATTTGGCTCACAGTGTGATCTCGCGGTTTGTGAGTTCGAGCCCTTCGCCGGGCTCTGTGCTGATAGCTCAGAGCCTGGAGCCTGCTTCAGATTCTGTCTCCCTCTCTCTCTACCCCAACTCCACTTGGCTCTCACTGTCTCTCTCTCAAAAATAAATAAACATAAAAAAAAATTTTTAATATGGGACTCCTTGGATATGGTCCTCCAATTTTTTTGCATTTTCTGTTTTTCAACTTTTAATCCTTTTGTTCTATATTCTGAGAGATTTCCTTTATCTTTCAGTCCTTCCACTGAATTTTTAAGTGTTTTTGTTTTTTTGTTACTTTTTAAAAACTTTTGCTCAAGTTCTTTATAATCAGAGTAGTTTTGATGTATTTTTATTTAAAAGTATTCTTTTCTTGCTGGTTTTTGGTTTGTTTTTTATGTTTATTTATTTTTGAGAGAGAGAGTGAAAGAGTGCAAGCAGGGGAGGGGCAGAGAGAGAGAGGGAGGCACAGAATCTGAAGCAGGCTGCAGGCTCTGAGCTGTCAGCACAGAGCCTGATGCAGGGCTCGAACCCATGAACCGCGAGATCATGACCTCACCTGAAGTCGGACGCTAAACCAACTGAGCCACCAGGCACCCCTTGGTTTTTTGTTTGTTTTTTTTAATATTCTTTTATTTGTTGGGTTTGTCTTCAGCTTTTGTTAAGGACGTTTATTACTGTCTTGTGATCCTTAATTGTCTGTTCGTATTGTCTGTTCACATTTTATAGTAGAGCATGAAAATGCCGATTGGAAGTTCTCTGTGGGAGGTTAGGCTTATAAAATGATGTATGGGGGCTATTTTGTGTGGAATTCTCACTGTGTTTAGCTTTTTTCCTTCTCAGCTGGTCTCATTTTTCAGGAAAGGTGTTTTTTGTTTTTTGTTTTTCCCCTGCTTGGAAAGTGAAGAGCTGGTTGTCAGCATTTTGGAAGCCCAATGGGAATAATAGGTTGCAGAGGCTTAGTACCCAGTAATTCATACATTTACTAAATTGCTGTTTTACATATGTTTCTCCTACTTACAACTGTGCCACATTTCCCCTAATTTGAAGATCCTTTTCGTACACTTTATAGAACATTAACTTCTGGCTTTCTGTTAGGATGTGGAAGGAGCAGCTACTACCATGTTCACAGCTGGAACTTTTTTCCTTTTTTTAACCCCAGCTTAACCTATTTCTAGCAGTACCTTGTGCTGTTTTTAAGTTTTTTATGGGTTACACAGTGTAGACTGATTTGTTTCTTGGCTTTTTCCATTGTCAGCCTGGGATTGAGCTTCTTGAGCCTGATCACTTGTCCCTTGGTTTTTCCATTTTTAAAAATTCTGTTGCTCTTCTCTCTCTTTCCTTTCTTTTTCTCACATCTCTATTGACGAATAGGATTGACTTGTAATTTTCATGTCTCAGAAGTTCTTGGGACACCTGGGTGGCTTAGTCAGTTAATAAGCATCCAACTCTTGATTTGGGCTCGGGTCATGATCTCATGGTTGTGAGACCCAGCTCTGTGTCAGGCTCTGCACTGGTAGCATGGAGCCTGCTTGGGATTCTGTCTCTCCCTGTCTCTCTGCCCCTCCCCTGCTTATGCTCTTCTTGCGCACGAGTGCGTTCTCTCTCAGAAATAAATAAACTTAAAAAAAAGAACCAGTTTTAACTGTTGATCTCCTCTATTATATCTGTGCTCTCTGTTTTATTATTTTTCTCTTTCTGTTTTTCTTTGAGATTCATTTGTATATCCCTTTATGATTTCTTGAGATGGAAATTTGGTATATTGCTTTTTTTCTCCCAGCTTCTCTTCTTTTCTGATAAGTATTTAAGGCAGTAAATTTCCCTTTAAATCTGGCTTTAACTGTATCTAAAAAGTTTTGTTATATACTATTTTCATTATCTTTCATGTCAAAATGTGTTCTAATTTACATTGTGATTTCTTCACCCATGCCTTATTTAAAAGTAATGTTTATTAATTTCCAAACCTATGAAGATTTTTGGTTATATTTTTGTCATTGCTTTCTAGCTTAATTTGCATAATGTTCAGAGATAGCATTCTGAATTATCTCAACCCTTTGACATATGTTGTCGAAACTTGCTTCATGGTCCAGCATATTTATGGTCCACTTTATTTACAAATGTTTCATATATAGTTTAAAAGAGTGTTTGTTGTATAGTTGTTGAGTGCATCCCTCTAAATATTAATTAGATCACATCCATCAATCATGTTTTTCAAATCTTTAGCATCTTTACTAATTTTTTTAAAAAGTGTTTATTTATTTTGAGAGAGAGAGTGTGAGAGCTGAGAGAGGGAAAGAGAATCCCAAGCAGGCTGCATGATGTCAGCACAGAGCCAAAAATCAAGAGTTAGACATTTAACTAACTGAGCCATCCAGCCGCCCCCACTAATTCTTTTTTAAGTGATTGTTTTCTTAATTACTGAGAGTTTTGTTAAAAATCACATAATTGTGGGGCGCCTCGTGGCTCAATTGGTTAAGTGTCCAGCTTTGGCTCAGGTCATGATCTCACGGTTCATGAGTTTACGACCTATTTGAACTGTGCTAATAGCTCAGAGCCTGGAGCCTGCTTCAGATTCTGTGTCTCCCACTCTTTCTGCCCCTCCCCCGCTCATACTTGGTCTCTCTCTCTCTCTCAAAAAAAAAAATTAAAAAAAAATTTTTTTTAAATAAATAAGGGCACCTGGGTGGCTCAGTCAGTTAAATGTCTGACTTCAGCTCAGGTCATGATGTCATGGTTCATGAGTTCCAGCCCCGTGTAGGGCTCTGTGCTGACAGCTCAGAGCCTGGAGCTTGCCTCGGATTCTGTGTCTCCCTCTCTCTCTGCCCCTCCCCTACTCATGCTGTCTCTCTCCCTCTCTCAAAAAAAAATAAACATTTAAAAAATTATTTTTTAATAAATAAAAGATCACATACTTGTGCACTTGTGTCATTCTCCTTTTATTTCGGCCATTTTTTGCTTTATATATATGAGGCAGTATAAATACAAAGCTGTATGTCTTCCTGCAGAATTGAGCCTTTTATTAACTGTAATCAGATGTTCCTTTAACTTCTAACTTCTTTTTCCCTTCTCTGTGAGATATTAAAACTACATCCACTTTCTTTTGGTTAGTGCTTGCATGATAAATCTTTTTCCATCATTCTATTTCAATCCTTTTATATCCTTATATTTTAATATTTTAAAGGAGTGTATATATCATTTTCCAGTCTGACAGTCTTTACATTTAATCTGGAGAATTGACTACATTTAATGCAATTTATGATATATTTGGGTTTAAATCTATCCATTTTATTATTTGCTGTCTTTTTCTTTTTTTTTTTTTTTTT